GTTTTAAGTGCCTAGTGACTACATATGAGTTTAACGTCTGCTTTGGGCTGCAGACAATATCGCCGACGGGGTAGATGGGAGCTAGTAATAATTAATATATTCATAATAAAGGATAAACCACCATACCCCAAAAATGTAAATGATGGGGCGTTAACTTAAGTGAAGTTTGAATGAAAACGGTTACAAACATGATAATAAAATAAATAAAAAGCCGTGATTATGAAGGGAAAAGAAAAAATAATGTAGTTTGATTTGATTAGATGAGAAGAGATGAGAAATAGAACTAAACTGATAGATATAAAGTGGGGCTGGTTAGGGGGTGTGTGTGTGGGGGGGGGGGGTGGTATAGCATAGTGGGAGCTTGTTTTGGAGACAGTTAAGCTGTTTATAATTAAATAATGGGTAAAGAAAGAAAAAGGGTTTAAACGGGCTGGGGTGAGGGGTTGTATGGGAGCATTGAGGGGGGAGGCAGGCTGAGCGAGTGTAGTAATTGAGAGGCATTAGTAAGCTTGGTTGAGCGGCCTTGACTGTGAGCTATGGGCGGCCTTGACCGTGGAGTTTGTTATGGTTGGTGATTGAGAGGTAGTGGGGGTCGGTGGTGGCTGGAGGCGCGCGGACCTCGGAGGAGACAGCAGTCGTTGGGAAGTAGAGTTGATGTGAAATAATGAAGGAATAGAGAGGCGTGTGGACCTCTGAGAAGACAGGTGGATGGAGAGAGAGGTGAAGTTATAGATGGCTTGATAGTGAGCAGAAAGTGGATCGTGATGGCTAGGGTGGTGGGGGCGGACGTCGGAGAGGACAGTCACGCACATATGGTGAATTTGGAGTGACTAAATACCTATCCGTGAAACAATTTACTAATGAAACAATAGGCGAGAGCTTTCAATACAACTGACACCTCATGACAGGTAATTAATGACAAATGGTTGGATTGGGGTGTGCGGATAGTTATAGCCCGGGAAAGCCACTTTTAAGAAAAGAAGAGTTGAAAATGGTGTGGCTCAACCGATAAATGAGTATGGTTGAGTGATCGCGTGAATGTGGGTCTCCCGGCAATGCGTTATTAGCTAATCCATGTTACCGTAAATAATGCAGATTTTTTTTATATCGCTCTAAATTAGCCGAATTAAGTCAAAATGAGTTGAATTTTGTGCCATGAAACTTATAAACATACATTCATTCATTTACAACCTTCCAAAACATGGAAAAATATGTTTTTTGAGTAAAAGTAAATATTCTCGCCCATGGGCTTAAATGTTTTTCTTCCATGGGCGAGATATTTTTTAACATCGCTCTAAATTAGCCGAATTAAATCAAAATGAGTTACAATTTGTGTCATGATGCTGTTAAGCATACACTCATTCATTTACAACCTCCAAAACATGAATTCTGAGCGAAATTAAACATTCTCGCCCATAGTCTGGCCCATGGGCGAGCGAGTTTAAATTTTGAGTTTTTGAAAAAACAAATTTTCATTTTTTCATCCTTAGCATATATTCATAGCAACTGCATGTTCAATTTTGTCGAATCCCTTGTCAGAAAGTGTCCACAGTGAGGAGAGTTTCTGGACTTTTGTGAGTCCAGAAGTAAACTTATGATGTCTAAAGACGGCTAGGTTAACATGACACGTATCGTAAACATACCTACACAATCACTATCTTATATTAAACGGCCTTGGCCTACCTCTCAACATTTTGTTATTTATTATGTGAGCTAGGTTATGTAACTCGAAAACATCAGACATACAATTTTGCTAATGTTTTTGTCGCTTTTGCTGTTGCTCATGAGGCTGAACCGTAATGGATCGCCACAATAGTTCCGGTTAGAAATGCAGTCTATTTATCTCGTCATTTATGATGTCTGAAGACGGCTAGGTTAACACGGCTAGGTTAACATGACACGTATCGTAAACATACCTACACAATCACTATCTTATATTAAACGGCCTTGGCCTACCTCTCAACATTTTGTTATTTACTATGTGAGCTAGGTTATGTAACTCGAAAACATCAGACATACAATTTGGCTAATGTTTTTGTCGTTTTTGTTGTTGCTCATGAGGCTGAACCGTAATGGATCGCCACAATAGTTCCGGTTAGAAATGCAGTCTATTTATCTCGTCATTTATGATGTCTGAAGACGGCTAGGTTGACAGGGCTAGGTTAACATGACACGTATCGTAAACATACCTACACAATCACTATCTTATATTAAACGGCCTTGGCCTACCTCTCAACATTTTGTTATTTATTATGTGAGCTAGGCTATGTAACTCGAAAACATCCGACATACAATTGTGTAATGTTTGTGTCGCTTTTCTAGAGGCTCATTAGGCTGAACCGTAATGGGCCACCACAATAGTTCTGCTTAGAAATGCAATCTTTTTATCTCTAATGTTCAGCAGTTAACAAAGTCGTGGTCACCCAGCGGCGGTTTGTAAATAATCGCGCCTGGACGACACAATCCAGTGGTCAACAGCATGAGCATCGATCTGCGCAATTGGGAAACGATGACATATGTCAACCAAGTCAGCGAGCCTGACCACCCAATCCCGTTAGTCGCCTCTTACGACAAGCATATTCGCCTTTTGTGGCAAGAATGGGTTGCTGAAGACCTATTCTACCCCGGATCTTCACGGGTATGAGGAGGTGGGTGACAAGTATCCAGATTGAGATTAACCGTATAAACTGCATGAGAATGGTGCAAACTGTAAATTTACTGTACATTAACAAACAAAGGGGCAGGGTTCAAAGCACGACCTTGAACATGAACATTGGAAAGTTATAAACTTTTGATATACATAGTGTAACTGAAATATTACTATATTACGGTCAAAGAGAGCAGATATGTATTTCGTTTAGATGAACATTTTTTAAATATGTCGCTGATATAACGATAAGTGTGGTTAAGTCTTCAGAGGAAACATCAAAGAGCGACAATGGCGAGTGACTTCATGCAACAACCATTCTCTCTCAACTCTGATCGACCATGGACTGTAATTAATATGTTCGTTTTAAAATTTGGTCGAATGAATACGTCACTATTATTGTTAGTGGCTGTATCCTCGGAGGGGGTTAAAGTAGCGAAAGATAGTGCCCTCCAAAGAGGGTACTTAAGAACACATCATTCAATCTTTGTTGATCATTGCCAGAATTTTAATCGTAGAATGTTTGTAGTTTAAATTTATGGCTAAATTGCTCAAGATTCGCCAACAGCTGAGGGAATGATATAAATCCAGCTAGGGACCATGCAGGTAGCAAATATAACGTAAGTCCACATGGTCCCTAGGATGGTGATCTACCTTCAGCGATCTATAGCCCGATTTCATTTTGTTATTTTGAAATGATTAAGCATTTTACACTGAACTCAAACTAGTTTCTATTAATGTGTCCTTTGCTTTAATACTGCCATTAAAAGTATAAAATAGTCTATATACTTCTACATACCATTGTTGTCGTCACGATATGGCTGAAATATTGCCGATGTGACGTAAAATTTTAACTCACTCACTCACTTGCACATTTTGTTTCCTGAAGCATGTATTGCAGATTTTGCGTTTCTGGGAGTACCAAGATAAAAAAGTCAATCAAATGGGGATCGTGAGACTGGAACATAGCAAAACAAATTTGCTTGAGGTTGACAGTTAATATGGAGAAAAATAAAACATAACAACAGCTGCATTTGTATCATATTCTAGGTGAGGCTGACTATATTTTGAACGTCCCTCGTGAAAATACGTCCGTCAGAACACACACACACACACACACACCAGCACACCCCCCAACTCTACATGCATTTAAGTGTGTTAGATATACCCGTTAAAATCCCCTCTGTCTATGTTTCCATATCAACACCTCAACAGATATTTGCACCCAAAACATGATAGAGAGAACAGTTGGAGATTTTATATCGATTATATATCAGGTCGAATATCATTTTTCGTCATTCAGCTAAAAGCACCATTGATACTACGGTTATTATACTTTCCATAAGTTCATTTATCACTCTGAAGGTCGCCCAATTCAATTAGTGCCCGCACGTCCTCCTAACGCAACTGGGTACAACTTTTAAGCAAAATTTGTCAATTCCTTTTAGTGATCGGGCTAACAATTTTTTATTGACAAATCCTCAGATTTTTTTGCTGTGACCTTGCAAATTATCTCATGGTCACTCAATTGAACTGCTGTCGTTGAATCTCGCCACGACACATTAGTACCAAATTTGAACAAAATCCATCATTTCTTTCTTGTGTTATCGCCCTAACAAGCTTATAGGATGTATTAAATGCAACAAAAAAGCGAACACATGCGTATTCACGGATGATTAAAACTCTTATTACAATTTACGTAAATATTTATTACATTTTTCCGCAACAAACATTATTACAATTTACGTCAATTTTTATTGCAATTTCCGCATTACAATCAACGTCAATTTATATAACAATTTGCTTTACGTTTTATTACAATTTACGTCGTAACATGGGAGAGCTGTCGGAATGGCCCAACAAGGAACTATCCACACCGTCATTGCCAGAACCTTCGGCTTGATTGCCACATCAGGACAATTCATCTGAGAAATCATTTTGTAACGGCGACGTCAACGGCCGCGAGGGCACTAGAACGCCAAAGCAGACGAAATGCAGAGCACCGACGACGAAGAGAAGATGGGATTCGAGCACGTCGACGCTTCAAAACCGACGTCGTCGATTGACATGGGCCAGACAGAGGAGTGATTGTCGACGTGCGATGTTCACTGACGAGAGTATATTTGGCCTGTTGATACAGTAATGACGGCCGGGCTCGTGTTTACAGACTAGGATGTGAACTTTTAGCGCCGAAATGCGTTTAGCAAGTCCGACCGTTTGGAGCCGCCCCAAACTCGTAAGGAGCTTTTATATTAGGGGCTATTGTTTTTCGGCGTCTCAACGGCAAGCCAGTCAAAAGGAAAATGTAACTAGTTAAGACAAAGTAATTATATAATGTACTAGCGGTACTCACCACAGCCTTTCTCATTCATTAACTTCTGCATCCTTTCGAGTTGACTAACATAGGAATCGGCTCCACAGTCTGTGAGTATTCTCTTAGCACAGTCAATGTATGCGTTGCCAGACCTAATAGAGAATTTCACTAATTGTTGACAAAGTATCATTTTTAAGCGTTTGTTGCATTTTGGGATACTTAGCAGACATGTTTTGTGTATTTTTTTCTTTTCAATAAAGGACGTCACCCACAATTTTAGTCAATATTTGGTTACCTACGTATACTATCCCATCCCTACCCACACCCTACCACCTTATTGCCATTTGTTAAAAGTGGAAACAATTCTGTTCATATTCCTCTTTGTGTAAACTGCATACAATTCCAAAACAAAATGATACTTTTCAAGAAATTAAACAATTTGTTAAAATTTACTGAAATATATGTTCATTATCACGACTCCATCATTGTTGATACAGTAATGCGCATATTACTAATAGCTTCCACAAATAGAGGCGAAGAGAATATACATACTGGCATAATTCCTGGAGAGTTGGATTGTCTGACAAAATTCTGAGATACCTCGTCTGTTCTGAGTTACAGGCACTTGGATTGCATGCCCCTTTCACCTTGTTGCTGAGAGCTGTAATGAAAAACCATATGTACAGAACTGTATACAGAGAACCTTATATCAAGATAGAATGTCACCACGCAATCCACACAGTTCCCAACGTCGTCATACAATAACGCTTTTATTGCGTTTGCCAACCAGTTTAACATAAATACCTTTTCTTGTTTGTTTGCTGTTCAACGCCACACTCAGCAATATTCCAGCTTTATGACGGTGGTCTGTAAATAATCGAATCTGGACCAGACAATCCAATGATCAACAGCATGAGCATCGATCGGTGGTGGCGCGTGGTCCTGTGCTTAAAGCTCAGGTCACAAATCGGTGAAGTTAAGCAGCGTCGACCTCGGAGAGTCCTTGGATGGGTGACCGTGTTTGGCAGCTTGACTCCTGAGAGTTTCTAGGACTTGAGTCCTGCCCCACAACGAAGCACATGTGACACATGTGGTCTCACCTTAGGCAAGTGAGTTTGTTCAAAATTGTCTCTGTTCACCCAGCAGGAAAATGGGTACCCGGTGGAAAAAAGTCATATGACTATAACCTTCTAGCGCCTAACAGGCAGCTTGGGTTATCCGGGGTAATAATGGCCTTGATTGTTAGCGCTATGAGCATACCTAGTGTGAAGTTTGGCGCTATATAAATGGACACATTATTATTATTATTATTATCTACGCAATTGGGATATGATGACATGCATCAACCAAGTCAGGGAACCTGGCCACCCAATGCCGTTAGTCGCCTCTTAAGACAAGCAAGTAACGTGTCAGAGACAGTATACTGACTCAGGCCAGTGCTTATTTAACCCCTTCATATTGGGCAGCAGGTGGTATCACCCTTAAACGTGTAAAATATTTGTTCCTTGAGCCTTGTGTTGATAGGTCGGAGCAGAGATTCCTTCATCACCAGCATCGAGTGTGGACTGCAGCAACTGGCCCCCAATGGCAACGTGGACTACCTCCTCCACCAGATCGCCAACATCATCAAGAAGGCCCCCAAACCAAAGAATAACCTTACCAGAGATGAGAGACGTGCCATGGCTGAACTACAGAAAGATAACATCATCACCATAACTGAGGCAAAAGGCAAAGTAGCAGTCATCATGGACACCCCGGAACTCCTCCAGCTCATCAACAAGAGCCACAAGAACCCACCTAAAGCCAGGATAGTAGTCTACTCCAGAGAATCAGTCTTCGACAACACCGCCCAGTTCCTCTCCCTCCTCTTAGCCCTTTTGGAAAAGAGGGTAAGTCCTACATCAGCGACTCCTCATCCTTTGTCAATCAGCTGGAAGACGCCAACCTCACAGGTATCATGGTCAGCTACATGTACGACGTCATCGACCTCTTTACCAACATCTTTTGTACTAAGCTCCACACCAGAAAAGACCAACTCGAAACCAAGCTCACCATAGACAGCATCATCAACCTCACCTCCAGCTGCTTTGAAACCTCCTACTTCACCTTCAACGACAAGATCTACAGATTCACGGACTCCTCATGGGTTCCCCTCTGCCCCCCTCCCCCATCACAGAGATCTTCCTGACATCCCTCGAAAAATCAGCTCATTCCAACCTCTCTGCTGTTACCGCAAAGTTGATTACACCTTCACCACTATCGCCCATCATAACGAACCCGACCACCTGCTACATCTCAATGCCCAACATCCTAGAATCCAGTTCACCATGAAAACAGAGGCCGACCACCAACTCCCCATCTTACATGTCTCCCTGCAATCCAAGGGACTATGGACTCAAGACTTCTGTCTATCGCAAGCCGACACACACTGACCAGTACTTCCACTACAACTCCTGTCATCACCCCCAGATCAAGCAAGCCACCGTAGCCAACCTCATCAGATGTGCCAAATCCATCTGCCACCCAGACGCCCTCAGCAACGAACTACAACATTTAAAGGACACATTTACAGCTCTCAATGGATACCCAATGCACCTTGTCACCAAGACCATCAACAAAACCTTCGTTGTCTAGGTCGAACAGTTTGCCACCGAACGCTGGGTATATCATCCATTTATCCTCACCACTGTAGACTAGGGCGTACCGAACGTTGCTGACAGCTCCTGAGGTATCGACGATATCACTCAAGTCACTGTCGGATCTGTAAATAATCGAATCTGGACCAGACAATCCATTGATCCAAGTCACTTGCAGGACTTCAAAGCGATTTTATACGTTATTTTTCAGTTGCAAGGCGTACAGTTTACCTTCTATTCCTGGGTCGGCAAATCCACGAGTGTCACCGAGGTCGGAGATCGCTAGGTTGGCACATTTTTTTAATTGCATTCCTGGGCCATGGGCGCTAGTCATTATCGTATGTGTAGCGTTATGCTGAGGTACCCTATATTAATAGGATGGGTTTTTATATCCAAAATACATATTTTTAATTCCAAGATGGTTAATTTCTTGTACTGCTGTGACGAAAACGATTCGGTTCTGCCGTCGTTGTACTTTTCCGTTTTCACTGATACAGCTCTCAGCAGCTTAGAAGCGCATTCACCTCTGTATGTTGCCCGTCGTGCTCAGCTGATCGAGATTAATGCACAGTTGTCGGTATGAAACGAGATCAGGTAATTTCGTGCCGGTCACAGTGTTTTTTGGTGGAATGTCGTTCGACAACGTCAACCCGAGCATTTTAGCCAACGGCTTACTGAGTCTCAAGTCGTTTTTTCCGCTGTTGGCTAACACGACCGTGCTGTTCGAGACGTTAATTTTGAGTTTGGCTCCCACCGGTTTGAAGATTTCTTCGTTGAGAGAGCACACACTGTAGTAGCCGTCCGTTATTCGATTGCGTTTGTCATTGACGAACAACGTGTTGTTGTTGCTGTAATGTTGGTCCATTGCGGGTGATAGGTGATATCGCAGAGTACGACTTAGAGTTGGCCTGACGTGTTATCGATCGCATGCATGAGTTGAACTGACTCACCGCTCGTTATTCCTGGAAGTGTTACGTATATATTAAAGTATATATGTCCATTATATGAAAATTCAAAATGTACAAACCAGGAGTGTTTTACCCTAAAATGGATATAGATTTCACGAACATGAAGACCGTGGTCAATGCGGATGGTTTACATTTCAGAGCGCAGTTTATTGATGTGTTTAAACATTACAGGGTTTCAGTGACGAATGTGAAACCGGTGCACGATTGGTTTAACAGATCAGACGTATCCTCAAAGAAATCAGCGCCCCACTTCCACAGGACAAAGGATGGGACGCAGTAAACAATCCATACGATCAACGTGCATACAAACGAATTTGCAACGAATTCGAAATCCATCTGAAGACGGATTGGTATTTGCCTGGGCCGAACCATGGTTTGGGTATCCCCATCGTCCACAACATGCCTCTCGCGGAAGCCAGCAAACAGCTAGTAAAAGATTGGGGTTACAAGTCGTATCATTAGGTCACAACGAACGAATGGAACGACGACTACATGGCTTTTGACGACAGCAACAGTTCGCAGGCACAGTTCGTGTCCAAAGTTGAGGATGCTATTAATGCTCCAGTTGATCTACTGAGCACCATCCAACGCTACCAAAACGTGTTGGAATACGCCCAGTCGAAAGTCGACTACGCGTTTGGTGTGGGATTGTATATGGCTCCGAGCGACATGCAACTGAGAATCCATAAAGTGGTGGGCTACAACAACGAAATCATCATCGCCACCGCCGATCAAAATTTGGGTATCAACCCGGGTATCAACGTCTCAAACATCACAGCTACGAGCACCAGTGAAACTGGCATAGTGGCATCATCCCCTAAACCTAGGGCTGTTCGACCACAACCACAACAGCCCCTTTCGCCACGTGAGGTGGTTAAAAATAAAGAACACCTCGATAGTAAAACAGCACTGGTGGTCGGTAGGACTGTGCCTAATTTGGTAAAAAATTCCTTAGCCGCGATGTACACCAGACCCGCCAAGGCGACAACGACCACCCAAAGGTTTGGGCGGAGCCACGGGACAGTTTTAGCCAGCGTACTCAGTAACCCACAAGACGATGCTACCCGGGATTCCCGGAAGTGCTTCGGTGGCTTTACCTGCAAGTTAAGCCAGGGATTCACCGCGTTTTTTTATCCAATCTCTGATGCCACCACTTGGTGATGTGGTGTGCCTCCGCCGCCGCCTGTCAGCACTACGATCAGGGTCGATATGATGAAGCCCAAAGCCGTAAGAATGATGGCAATGATGATCCCTTGTTCCCGGAACAGAATTTGGATTCTGTCAGCCAACGCGGTGTTCTCGTTGAGGACTTGATCGATAGTTTCCCGCACGCGGCTGATCTGAGATCAAAGATGTTATCGATTCGAGGAAGCGGATTCCAATCGGGTTTGTCTCTCGTCTTGTAAGTCACGCAATCATTTCTTGATGATGGTTTTTAGAGACTCGTCGTCTTGGACCTGCCTGAGTTATATTTTCTCGCAAGCATGTGCTCATCGATCTCATTCAGTTTCCCATATTGTTCACGAGTTCTCCACGAATGTTTCGCAA